TAAGTGAACACTACCTGTGTGTTCTTAGGAACTCGTCATGTCAAATTTTTTAGCTGTTGAATGAATTTGAACAAAATTAACCACAAACTCGTTCCCCCAAATGGAGATCATTAGGGGTCTAAAATGCATGGATCCAGAGGGTTTACAGAGTCTGTGGGATTTCAGACTCAATATATAACAATATATATATTGTTTTGTATATGTATGTATGTATGTATGTATGTATGTATAACAGAAATATAACAAAATCTCTATATGAGAAACCATAAAAAAAAGAAATGGGCTCAAAAGAGAATGAACAAGAATTCCGACAAACACAGGAAAGAATGTGGATCAAATACACAAAGCCGTTCCCAGTTAGCACATTAGTGTAACATCCTGTTGTAGATTTTGTCTATCCCAAAATAGCTTTGTGGTTGCTGGTATCCCTGTACAATTATGTTTATCCTACGTGCTCATTTTAAGCAATTTCTGATCCGCAAGATGAGTGTAAGATTAGGAACATGATGCGATCATGTTTGATGACCCTTACAAAAAAATGTGAAAGGACTAAGGGTTTAAAACATCAACACTGGAGAAGCCCCTTTCACAAGTTGTGCTACCTTTCCTTCAACCTGCACCCAAAAAATGAGCGGCAAAGTGATAGCCTTTTAACACTGATAGCAGTCTTCCAGTATCTCAGGGGCTGCCACAAAGAAGAGGGAGTCAAGCTGTTCTCCAAGGCGTCTGAAGGCAGGACAAGAAGCAACGGATGGAAACTAACCAAGGAGAGAAGCAACCTAGAACTAAGGAGAAACTTCCTGACAGTGAGGACAATTAACCAGTGGAACAACCTGCCTCCAGAAGCGGTGAATGCTCCAATACTGGAGGTTTTTAAGAAGAGACTGGACAGCCATTTGTCTGAAATGGTATAGGGTTTCCTGCCTGAGCAGGGGGTTGGACTAGATGACCTCCAAGATCCCTTCCAACTTTACCATTATTATTATTATTATTATTATTATTATTATTATTATTATTATTATTATTATTATTATTATTATTATTATCCTGATAGACCCATTTGCCACAAAACGTGCCTGGGCACGCTCAGCCAGAGAAGATCACAAGTAAGCTCACACTTTTACAAAGGTAGATGTAAAGTAGCCTTTTCTAACCAAGAGATGGTGCTAAAGAACAACCAATGAACCCTCTTCTCTCTTTCTTAAATGCACAATGACGGTAACCGCCTCCCTCGCATCCACATCACTCTTTGTAGCCTGAATGATAAAACTTAACACTTTTCCCACTCCGCTTCAATTGTGTCTGATTCTCAGAGATTGCCTGGCAAGTCCCTACAGTTTCCTTGGCACTCCTTTTTCAGACGTGGTTTGCGCCATTCCCCTCTTCTTAGGGCTGAGAGAAAGTGACTGGCCAAAGATCACCTAGCTCAGGGCCCCCCAACCTTCCTGGCGAGGAAGGGTGGGGGGGAAGAGGGGATGGTTCTGTGTGAGCAGCCGGCAAGTGCGCGCACACGCAGCTCCAATTGTGCCAGTGGCGTGCAAACGCACCTGCTGCTCACTTTAACGGACCACGCACATGCACACGCTCCCCGATGCTTGTACAAGTGAAATTGCGTGTGCGTGCACATGCGCTCGCCGGTCGTTTTTCCGCAGCCTGGTTGCAAAACCCCTCATGGGGTCCACAGTCCACAGGTTGGGGACCCCTGACCTAGCTGGTTTCATGCCAAAGATAGAGCTAGAACGGATACCCTCCCAGTTTCCAGGCTGATGCCTTAACCACGTCAAGCTGACTTTCAAAACACACAACGCTTTAACTATAAACTGACATCCATGTGCAATGCTCGTTCTTCTAATTTTATTGGCAAAGCTCCATTACCTGCCATAGAAAAATGGGTAGGACGCCTTGTGTCTTGTGTAGACAGCACAGAACTGCCTTACTGTAGGTTACAGAATTTGACACAACCCACCCCACACCCCACAGGCCGGTGTGGGGCCAGGCCTCATCTTCAACCTGCTGGCTGGAGAATTCTGGGAGTTGAAGTCCACACCTTTTAAAGTTGACTGGGGGAATTCTGGGACTACTGGCTAGGGAATTCTGGGCGTTGAAGTCCACACCTTTTAAAGTGGTTGAGGTTTTGTCTCTCCCAGCATGCTTTCCCTGACTTCACCTCAGGAAAAAGTCACTAGTTCCCATTGTCCTTTAGAATATGTTCCAAGATTCCCAGTGTCTCAGCAAGAATTCTAAAGATTTGAACAGCATTCAGCCCACTCCTTTAGCAGTTTAACAATCTGACTTTCAATGAATGCTTCATAAATAACCATGGATTAGCTCAGCAGCAAATGCTTTAAACCAGGCTGATGTTAGTCATCTGTACGCACAAGACTGTAGTTTCTCCAAAGGCCTTCGGTTCCCCACAGCCACTTCTAATACATATGAAAGCTAACAGGCTCCTACTTCCCACAGATAGTATGAATACCTTAGCTGTAATCTTTTACGACAGTATTACTCAGTTGGAAACCTGGCCTATGGTTTCTGTTTTCATAGCCCGAGGCAGCCCTTACGAAGGGTTTGCTCCTGAGTGGCTGAGTAGCTACTATCCAAATGGAATGAATCCAACTGCCCTTTGCCAGCTTGGAAACAAAACTGCAATCCCGTTTCCCTCTTGGCAGTACAATGAGATCCCCTACTCAGCTCTGAAGTATAAGCTTACCCCAAAAGCTTTTGAATTTCACGCCCACTCAGAATTACAGGTGGGAGCTTTGCATCTTGGGATTCTGCCAGGATTTCCCATGCAAAACACTGGGAGGACGTAGCGCGGATGGAAAGTCAACAAGACGGGGCTTCGCGACGGCTAAACTCCCGCTTTTGAGTCAACAAAAGTTGACTCTCTCAACTTCTGAGAGCCAGTATGTCTAGTGGTGAAGGCACTAGGCTACAAACTAGGAGACTGGGAGTTCTAGTCCTGCCTGAGGCATGAAAGCCCACTGGGTGACTTTGGGTCAATCACCAGGAGACTGGGAGTTCTAGTCCTGCCTTAGGCATGAAAGCTGGCTAGGTGACTTTGGGTCAATCACCAGGAGACTGGGAGGTCTAGTCCTGCCTGAGGCATGAAAGCCCACTGGGTGACTTTGGGTCAATCACCAGGAGACTGGGAGCTCTAGTCCTGCCTGAGGCATGAAAGCTGGCTAGGTGACTTTGGGTCAACAAACCAGGAGACAGTGAGTTCTAGTCCTGCCTTGGGCATGAAAGCTGGCTAGGTGACTTTGGATCAATCACCAGGAGACTGGGAGTTCTAGTCCTGCCTGAGGCATGAAAGCCCACTGGGTGACTTTGGGTCAATCACCAGGAGACTGGGAGTTCTAGTCCTGCCTGAGGCATGAAAGCTGGCTAGGTGACTTTGGGTCAACAAACCAGGAGACAGTGAGTTCTAGTCCTGCCTTAGGCATGAAAGCTGGCTAGGTGACTTTGGATCAATCACCAGGAGACTGGGAGTTCTAGTCCTGCCTTAGGCATGAAAGCTGGCTAGGTGACTTTGGGTCAATCACCAGGAGACTGGGAGGTCTAGTCCTGCCTTAGGCATGAAAGCCCACTGGGTGACTTTGGGTCAATCACCAGGAGACTGGGAGTTCTAGTCCTGCCTTAGGCATGAAAGCCCACTGGGTGACTTTGGGTCAATCACCAGGAGACTGGGAGTTCTAGTCCTGCCTTAGGCATGAAAGCTGGCTAGGTGACTTTGGGTCAATCACCAGGAGACTGGGAGTTCTAGTCCTGCCTGAGGCATGAAAGCCCACTGGGTGACTTTGGGTCAATCACCAGGAGACTGGGAGTTCTAGTCCTGCCTTAAGCATGAAAGATAGCTAGGTGACTTTGGGCCAGTCACTCTCTGTCAGCCCACGTCACCTCACAGGGTTTTGTTGTGGGGAAAATAGGAGAAGGAGTTTTGTGTGTTGGCCACCTTGAGTTATTAGTAAAAATAATAAAAGTGAGATATAAACAAACCAACCAACCAACCATCCCTTTTATTGCAAAAGTCCATTTCGCACCTGGGATTTCTGTGCTGCAGGAAAGAAATGATCAAGCTTGAATTGAAGAGCACTGTTTTAAGTCATCCATTCATAGGAAAGAATTGGGAATTAGGCTGGTGACAAGATCTAGCTCTCGTTTTCCCTTTGACATATTTCCTACTGGAACCGTTGACGTTTCAAGAGCAAGTGAATAGGCACAGGGTTCCCTTCTACTACACTGTGAGCTCTCTGTCACTAGGAGACAGTTCCCAATCTTTGAGTTCTGTGATTCCCTATCATTTCTTCCCATTCAACCCAATTCAACCCATTCAACCCAATCACCTAAATAGGAGCCAGCCGTGTGCTGCAGCTGCCAAAAAGTCCAACACAGTGCTGGGCTGCATTAACAGAGGGATAGAATCAAGATCAGGTGAAGTATTAATACCACTTTACAAGGCCTTGGTAAGGCCACACTTGGAATACGGCATCCAGTTTTGGTCACCGCGATGTAAAAAGGATGCTGAGACTCTAGAAAGAGTACAGAGAAGAGCAACAAAGATGATTAGGGGACTGGAGGCTAAAACATATAAGGAACGGCTGCTGGAATTGGGTATGTCTAGTTCAACGAAGAGAAGGACGACGGGGGACATGATAGCAGTGTTCCAGTATCTCAGGGGCTGCCCCAAAGAAGAGGGAGTCAAGCTATTCTCCAAAGCGCCTGAAGGCAGGACAAAAAGCAACGGGTGGAAACTCATCAAGGAGAGAAGCAACCTAGAACTAAGGAGAAACTTCCTGACAGTGAGAACAATTAACCAGTGGAACAACCTGCATCCAGAAGCGGTGAATGCTCCAACACTGGAAGTTTTTAAGAAGAGACTGGACAGCCATTTGTCCGAAATGGTATAGGGTTTCCTGCCTGAGCAAGGGGTTGGACTCGATGACCTCCAAGATCCCTTCCAATTTTACTATTATTATTATTATTATTAACCCACCTACCTGCTTTTACAGATGCCAGACACGAGGGAAAGGAGGAGGCTGATCAGCACACAGGCAGGGACCGACACCTGTTTCAACAGTTCTACGATAATGCTGGCCTCCACCCCTTCCGACTGCCAGTGGGTGAGCCTGATGGGGCCCTCGTGGTACTGGTCCTTCATGAACAGCAATTTGCTTTTTCCAACACTGTCAAACACAGCAGCCAGCTTGGAAGCATCGGCTGCCTTTTGATCGGAAGGGACCCCGGGCTTGTTGGGAGGATGAAGCTGCGAGAGCATCACTTTGCGCTGGTCGTAATAGATCACGATGGTTTCTTCGGCATCTCTGCTACTGATGGATTCCTTCCAGTTGGCCACACAGTTCCAAAACCTGCTGCCTTTTTGCCTGCTGAGCTGGACCCAGGGGCCCTGGGAAAAGATGGTGCCCAGGTCTTCCAGGAACCTTTGCAAATTCTCTTTTTCTTGGCTGTTAGTCCAGGAACCCAACACCGACAGTTGGACTTGGGTGGCGTGTTGCATTTTGGAGAGATACTGCTTCACCTGACCGGGAATCAAAGGGAAATGGATGACAGCCAGGATAACGATGGAGTTCTGTTCTGGAATCCATCGTCCAATCAGAAGGCCACTCTCGGCCGAAGCGCAGCAAAGAGGGAAAAAGACTTTAAACGCCATGATGCGGAAATCTGAAATCTGTGAAGTCCTAGAGAAGAAACAGAAAAACAAAATAAACGAGCTGCTTCTGAATTCACGCACTGACTGGAGCAAATTAAGAGATTAAGCCTTAAACTGAAGGAAATGCTTTTGTTGCCGGTTCGGTAGACTGTATGTGACAGGAGAACAGCTGGATTATTCAAAAACTGGAAGGATTACAAAAGATCAAAAGAAAAGAACCCTAAAGTCTTATGATTTGGTTATGTTTAGCTGGAAGTAACACTAACAACTCCCAAAATATAAATGGCCCACGCACAAAAGTTGGGCCAGAGTTTTCTATTGCTCTGCAGCTCAGAATTTTGTCTGGAAAATTAAGGCAGACTATTTCACTTAAACAGGAAAATCTCCCTAATTAAATGTGGAACAGATTGCTACGTGCCCTGGTGAACTTTTCTTTACTGAGTATTCAAGCATAGGTTAAATATGAGAGCCGGGTTGTGGCAGACAACTACAATACTGGATTACAGTGCTGGATACAGTCCAGGAGGTTGTGAGTTCGAGTCCTTCCTTAGACAAATCACTCGGTGATTTTGAGCCAGTCACTCTGTCTCAATCCAGCCCACTTTACAAGGGTGTTTGTGGGCAAAAGAGGAGGCAGGAACATTATGTACACTTTCTTGAGTTGTACAAAAATAAAAGATGGAATATAAATAGAATAAATAGGTTAGGCAGCCATCTCTCAGTTTATCACCCATTACAAAGGGGAGCTAAAGGCTCTCGCAATGATTATTATTTTTTTCTCCAACTACGAAATGCGGATAGAGAAAGTGGCATTTCTTTGTACAGCTGCCATGGGAACAATTAAGTTAATTAATTAGATGATTAAACTAACAAGCACAAGGACCGCCACAGCGGATTAGATTAATAAATCGGCTCAAAAGCTAGTTGCAAATTTATGGTTCAGAACTGGGGTTCTCCGAAAGAAAGAACTGTGTGGTCTAATTAAAAAGCAAGCATTTCAGCTGAGATGTTAAGTCAAATCCTGGTTTTACTCCAAAGGCATTTAAAATCAGGATGCTGAGGTCGCCCTCAAAAACAAGGAACACAGGTTCCTTTCTAAACCCCAGCATAATGTGGGGTGTTGTGTACCCACATTTTTGCAGTTAAAAGATAATTAAGTTCTTAATGGGAAGTTTCTATAGAGTGTCCAGCTGGAGTACCCAGCATTGAGCTGTGGTGGCACAGTGGTTAGAATGCAGTATTGCAGGCTGACTCTGCCAACTGCCAGGAGTTCGATCCTGACCGGCTCAATGTTGATTCAGTCTTCTATCCTTCCGAGGTGGGTAAAATGAGGACCCAGATTATTAGGGGGCAATACGCTGACTCTGTTAGGAGGTAATATGCTTAGAGAGGGCTGTAAAGCACTGTGAAGCGGTATATAAGTCAAAGTGCTATTGCTATTTAATCTTACAGGGCTCCAGTGTCTTTAGCAATAGCCTTCCACCCCACTTCCACCCCCCCAAAATAGTAGTTTAAGCTCTTTCATGATCACCAACTTAATTTCATCAATACAGTCCTACAGAGAAGGCACAAAGCAGCAGTCAAAAAATTCCCCAAGGCTAGCTTTTGTACTCTCCTAGTTTTAGCAGCAATCCAGTATTTTCGCTATTCCTGTTGCTGCTTCTTGCTGGGAGATCCAGCAGCTGGAATATATAGACTATTTAGCCAGGACAAGATCACGTTGCCTGGGATGCGCAATGAGGAGACTAGTCTACATTGCACCCACTACATTATATAGGTTTAGCCACCCCAGTAAACTGCTCATATATAATTTAATTTTATACAAAATTGTATTCAACACTCATGCTGTGTGTTTTTAAAATAGTGTGTTTTATATTTTAAGACATTGTACGTGCTGTTTTTGATGCCGTGTTCTGTTACACTATATAGGTAGTCCTCGGCTTATAACATTTCATTTAGTGACTGTCTGAAGTTACAGCACTGAGAAAAATGACTTAAGACCATCGTTCACACGACCACTGCAGCATCCCCACGGTCACATGACCAATATTCAGATGTTTGGCAACTGGTTCCTATTTATGACGGTCGTAGGTTCCCGGGGTTATATGCTTTTGCAACCTTCTGACAAGCAAAGTCAGTGGGGGAAGCCAGATTCACTTAGCAACCGTGTTACTGACCTATCAAATGCAGTGATTCACTAAACAACATTTTGGGCTGAAATGTGGTCATAAGTCAAGGACTACCTGTAAAAAATAAATAAAATAAGCAGCAGTCCAGCACCAGTGCACTTAGCAAGTCACGCTGAGAGAGAGAGAGAGAATGAGAGAGGGAGGGAGAGGGAGAGAGAGAGAGGGAGGGAGAGAGAAAGAGGGAGAGGGAGAGAGAGAGAGAGAGAGGGAGAGAGAGAGAGAGAGAGAGAGAGAGAGAGAGAGAGAGAGAGAGAGAGAGAGAGAGAGAGAGAGAGAGAAGGCACAAAGGAGGGAAAATACCACTTTATTTGGATTCTTCACCCCAATCTTTCTGTTTTCACTATAAAATCCAAGGTGACCTCAAAACATGTGACGCGTGACCTTGGAACTAACAACTTCCTATCTTTTTAAGTAACTTAATAAACATTAAACTCAAACATTACAGTAAACAAGACCAGTTTACATCATCCAGCGTCTGCTGTCCTTCAGCACTTTTCCAAGGTTGCCATGCAAAAACCCTTGGGCTGTGTCCTCCGCGACAGGTCCAATTAGCAGAATGTAAATGTTGGGTTACAGCAGGTAGATTGGAAAGAATATTCTGCAGAAAAGGAAGTCTCTGCTGACTTTTCTGCTCAAATAAAGTACAGCTGATCCCTGACATTTTGCACTGGAAAAGGGGCGATTCATTTGCATCGAAAATGCCTTGACTTATCCAGAAAAAAGAAAAAAAAGTCAGCCTGTCAAATGGTGTTGCAGGAGACAATGTCTGTTTCTGGATGAATTCCCAGTCTCTTGAGGCAGAAAAGTGGTGTCTGGTTGATGCATGCTCTTTATCAGTGTATGGAGTTTATAAGAAGAGAAGGCTTACAGTTCCTGGGATGGGGTTATTTTCTCATCAGCCCTTTCATTTAGGAATGTGGGGCAGTTGTCGGTGTGGGTAAAGGTTAGGGGTCAATTGATCTCCTGGCTTAGGAGGAAGAAATAGGAATAAGAGTCATGGTGTAGTAACATTCCCATCGGCAACTAGAGCTTCCAAGACAGAAAGTTATTGGGGGGGAATGGACATTTGACACATTTGTGTTTTACAAAACTGTTTCCTGCCAAGTCTGCAACAGGACTATTTTTCTGTAAAATATTGGTACTTAAGCATATTGGTTCTTAAGCATGTGAGCATTAATGTTAGTGGTTAATTCTATCCAAGCCTAACCCATATTTACTGCACTGAATCCCCCAGTCTCCTTTTTTTTCTAGCTATAACACATATACGCAAGGAGAAAGTGAGCGAGCGAACAGATAAAAACCAGTCACTGTTCACGAAGTCTTATTGTAGAAATGCCTCGATTCCACCTTATTAGAAAAAAACAAGGAACTGGATATCTTACATTTTGCTGGTAATGTGTGAGCTTTAAAAATTTAAATAAGTAATAATGCTCAAAGAGGGAGCATTGACAAAATGCATAGAAAAAGAGAAAATTGTTGCAAAAAATGCAAACAAATGTGAGAGAATAATAGGACCAGAACATACTGTATTAGGAAACCACAGAACAATTTCTTAGCCCTGAAAAGTTTGAGACTTTGTTTCTCAATGTAGATTTTTCTAGAGTAGCCAGAAAGATCAGTGATAGCCAGGCTAGATTTAATGGTTAGATAGCGAGGCCTTAATTTTTACTACAGCATTCAAACAATAGTACATAACACATTTCCCCAATAATGTGAAGATTATTAATGTGGGCAGAAATCTCTATAGGTTGACAGCTACTCAATTTTAAAGCTCAATCATTGGCTAATTCCTTACATTAATGACCCATATTAGATGTTGCCACTTGCCTTTGTTTCCTCTTATGTTTCTCCAATAATATTTCATTAAATATGCCACATGACATTGTACTAGGTGTTTTGAGATATTTTCCAATAAAATGACAGCATGTTTGCATCATTCATCATCTTTTAAATGTTAGTTTTTTTAAAAAAAACCTGTTGAGACAGAAGACAGCTGGAAGATGCTCGGTTTTGGGGATACCATTAGCCATTCCCTGTCATTTGCTTACACCTCAGACCAAGTAACTACAACTCTAACAGTTATAACTTCAAATTACTGGAGTGGAATCATGGAGACAAAACAAAATGGTATAGAACAGCAAAAGTCATGCTGTGTTTAGCTGTAGTTTTTTTTAAAAAATGGTTCCCAATGAAGAATTATCAATTCCTAATAATAATAAAAATTATAAGGGGAGAAGATAACAAAAATGCAAAGACCTGCAAATAGAAATAGAAAGACTGTGGCAAAAGAAAGCAAAGGTAGTACCAACAGTCATAGGCACCTTGATTGCAATTCTGAAACAACTGGAGCACCACTTGAACACCATTGGCATTGACAAAATCACCACCAATTGCAAAAGGCAGTTTTATTCAGAGCAGCTTACATCCTGCGACAATACCTTTAACACCATCAAACATTGACATCTATCTATCCCAGGTCCTTAGGAAGGACTCAATAGGTGGATAAAATGGCCAAATCCAGTCTGAATATCTGGCCAACTATGCGACAAACTATAACAGATGTGTTGGGAACAACCCCAAAAATATCTCAAGCACCACTGAACATCAATGCCACTGACAAAATTATCATTGATTGCTAAAGGCAGCTTTACTCGGAACAGGTTACACACCCTGTGACAAGACCTTTAACACCATTAAACAACATCTGCCTATCCCAGGTCTTTGAGAAGGACTCAATAGGTGGATAAAAATGTCAAATATAGTCTAAACTTCTGGCTGATTGTGCTACAAACCATAATAAGTGAAGTTTTTTTAAAAAGTAAAAGGAAAGGTTTTTAAAAAGCTAAAGGGAAGTTGAGCAGATCTGAAGGATAATATTTTATCCCTTACTTAGTAGTTGAAGAATGGACATCTGTGAGGAGTCCATTTGCCTAACCTTCATACAGGGAAGACATTAATAGAGTCCTGACTGTTGGACCAGGGTGCTTGGAGGACCCCTAGATGGTTCCCCCCCCAAAGAAGCAAGCCCAATAATGCTCAGCTAAAGACCCCACCCCAAATATCCTCCCCAAAGACTCCATGCCAAAGGCTCTTCCCTGAAGACCCTACCCCAAACATCGTCCCCAAAAGATCCTCTCCCCCAAAGAACCCAGTTCAAAAATCCACCCCAAATACCCTCCACAAACAATGTCCTCCAAAGATGCCAGGACAGAGACCCCTACCCCAAATATCTCCCCCAAAGATCCGCCCCAAACACTCCACACCAAAGACTTTCTCTCCCCAAGACAGCAATCCCAAGCATCTTCCCCCAAAAGACCCCACCCCATTTTGGCTTAACCCAAGGCAGACCCCAGCCCTTTTGCAATCTTCCCTTACAGAGTCTCTTCCGACCAACAGGCGACTCTCCTCGCCCACCTGCTGCCCATGAAGGCGCTTCCAGGACTCAACTCGGGAACCCTGGGTGGCCCAATTCACACAACCCCCTCCCCCACCACCCCTGGGTTTGATGCCTGGGACAGGCGCCCCACCCACCGGGGTTCTACGCCGGTGAAAGGCCCACAATCCCAGAGGGACCCCTCCCATCGTGGTCTATTCAGCAAACTCGGTTTAAGCGTGCCTGTGCAGGGACGCTAGGCCAAAAAAGGGCTACCGTGTCCCCCTTTGCCCCCGTTTCAGGGAAGAGCTCTCCCGTCTGTTCCCCAAACTTACCCCCCGCTCGGTTTTGCTGCCCCCAGAAACGCGGAAGAGGGAGAAAAAAGCCCGCGCCGCTTGACATTCAACTCACTTCCGGGTGCTACTGGCCGGTTTCTAGGAGACGCGGTCCGCCCCTTCAGAAACGTCCGTGACGTCCTTGCCTAATAGCCTTCCGGCGACCTCCCGCGCTCGCCTACATTGAGTTCCGCCTCGCCGCGCTTCTCTTTGGCGAAAAGAGACACCCCTTTTCCCCCCGCAATTCATGCTTTTTTGAAACCGACCCAGCTATTTATTTCAGATTTTTTACTACTCCTTCTTCGCTCTCACCAGCAGTTCGACCTATTTTTATGGCCAAAAAAGCTGCTCTTTTAGTTTTGTTCAATGAGGAGTCTTCCTCCCCCCCGCTTTTATTGTTATTGTTTGACAATATCAATAACAATAAAGTTAAACAATAACAATAATAAAAAGTTAAACCGTAACAATAAAGGCGGGTCGTTCTTCTGCAAATGCTGAGCTTCCCACACGTTGCCCCTCGGAAACAAATCCACTGAAAGCAAATGAAGAAGTGGAAGTTTGTGCCTTTTGGAGACAGTCAAATGCAGTGTTTCTCAAATTTGGCACCTTGAAGAGGTGTGGACTACAACTCCCAGAATCCCACAGTCAGCACAAGGTCGCTGGCTGGGGAATTCTGGGAGTTCAAGTCCACAGTCAAGTTTCAGAAAGACTGAAATAGAAGACCAGTAACATAAAAGCCGTACTAGATCAGTCAAATTGGTTAAAAAAAAAAATCTGAAAATTCTCAAAGATGTTTTCTTATATCCTGTTAAAACATTTTACTTTACATTTTTTTACCATAGATAAAGTAAAAAACAAACTGTGACTTTGTTCTAAAGCAACTTGGTTTTGGCTTCAACAATCTTTTGTAGCTTATTAAATTCACATACGCATTAATTACACCCATGCACACAACCATAGAATAGAACTTGCAAGTTTATCCTTGTACAGCATGTAATTAGATGCCACAATACAAACACCACAGCCACAAAATTTCACTAACCATCTACACACATATGAAACGCGGTTTGTTTAGATCAGGCATGAATTTGGCTTTTGTTTCATACTGACCTGATTAAATGTACAGTAATGCAGAAAGTGGAAGGTCTGGTAGCGAGGTTTCAAATTGCCAAATGGTCTCTCCTTACTGCAGTAAGAACATTTCCTCCGCAAAGTGAAATTAACTGTCCACACCCTGGGCAGAACACACAGCTTCCTTTCAACGCAAGGTCTGCATCTTCCATTTTCCTGATAAGCTTCATGCCATCTCAACTGATATCTCAGTAAGGATTCGCCTTGTCTGCTTCCAAAACGTTTTGTTGGAAGCTGATAACTCTACAAAATGGCTCAGAATCTTCCCATACGCAATTCCCTCTTTAATATCTGTCTTTGATCCTGTGACCATATGTCTTTTATTATAAAAAGACAGACCTTCATTACAGAAAGTTATCCTTTAGATTTGTTGATTATTATTTATTATTTATTTTTCAAAAACTCACTTTTGCCCTTTACTGTGGTCATTTTACTGGACAAATGGTTCTGTGTAATGGGCAGTCTGACTGCAGAAATCCTTTTTAATCCTTGCTCCTTATAACTTCACGGCTTATTAAGCTTTTTATTTTTATTAGAATATGCATTTTTGTAAAGGTTTTCTTGGTTTTGCTCTCGAATTTTCCTTTGTAAGGCAAAGTTATAAACAAATATTGCTTTTATACTTATCTACCTCTTTCAGATTTGCTCCTTCTTCAAGTTTGCCCTTAATTTTTTTTTGCAAGAAAATATGCTTACTATACTTTTGGGAGAAAACAAAATGTTAGCAGTGTACTTATATCAAAACTTTGCTGGGCGGAAGCATTGAATCTTTGGGATGAAAGAAAAAAACTTTTCTTTATATCAGCTAGATTCATATTATATTAACTTTTGTTTGTATGTTTAAATTTATATAGCTGCCTATCTCACTTGTGAGACTCTATGCAGTTTACAAGTCAAAATCAGCAAAAAATAAACTGGCATAAATAAAATGAAAAACAATTAAAACAACAAATCAACAGATAAAAACACAGAAGAATATCTTACACACTTACAAACAATGCAGCCACTTTCAGCCTTACTATATTTATTTATGCTTCAGTGCTGGCTTAGTCAAACAAGTGGCTTACAATACAACTCTTACAATATTTTTTTTAACAAAATACAGGTATGATGCAAATCAGATTCATGGCTGGCTGAGGCATTCTGGGAGTTGAAGTCCACTCATCTGAAAACTGTCAAGGTTGAGAAACATTGTGTCAAGCTTGAGGCCCACATATGATATTGCCACCATTATTGCTTCTCAGCTTGCCAACGCACTAGGGGGGGAGGAGAGGGAAAAAAGAAATGCAGGCTCCAGACAACAAAAAGTCAGCCTGTGTGAACCAAGGACGTTTCAGCAGGTGCTGGCCAACACAGAGAGACACTTTCTCATAACAATAATTTGACACTCGATTGGACCATGTGACCTGCACTAATAAGCGGAGGGAGGATTCTATACTTTAATTATAGTGGTTTGCACGGGAAATAACCAGAGCTGGTTTTGCTTTCATCTGTGCCAAAATGATGTACTCAATAAAGTTTTGCATTAAGAAATTGGATTGTCTCGATGGTGCTTGCTCAGTTGGGTTCGTCAGTCGGAACCTAAAAGCTAAAAATTGGGCATGCTCTCTCTTTCCAGGTCAAAATACTCTCATCAGTGTCATGTTAAAAAAAAAATAGTCTGCTTATCACCCACCCTCATTCCCCCATGGTCTGTTTCTTCTGACATTTCTCTTACTACAAAAAAGTCCATTAAGGGAGAAAAAGTTAATTATTGGACAAATTGTCCATTTAGCACCAATTTCAGATTCTCCCCTTTTGGGTGCCATTTGTTGAAGTTGCTTTCTTTGTTTGGGCTGGGTCTTCTCTACGACAAAGGAAGCGCTGCACATTATATTTCCTCACTAGAGTAGGTTGATATACTGTTGGACAAGTGAATGCAGATTTGATGAGGTAATCTGGCAAAGATTACCTCATCTTTGTAACACCGGTAGTTCTCGACTTTCAACCATTTGTTTAGGGAATGCTCAAAGTTACAACGGCACTGAAAAAAGTGACTTATGACCATTTTCCACACTTATGACATTTGCAGCATCCCCCGTGGTCACGTGATCAAAATTCGGGTGCTTGGCAACTAGTTCATATTTATAACGGTCGCAGCATCCAAGGGGGGAGTGTCATGTGATCCCCTTTTGCGACCTTCTGACAAGCAAAGTCAATGGGGGAAGCCAGATTCACTTAATAACCATGTTACTAACTTAACCACTGCAGTGACTCACTTAACAACTGTGGCATGAAAGGTCGTGAAATGGGTCAAAATTCACTTAACAACCATCTCAGTTAGCAACAGAAAGTTTGGGCTCAATTGTGGTAAATTGAGGACCACCTGTGTAGAGGACAGTGGAGGATCCTATCCTGCCTTCCCTCGAGGTGAATAATTTGGATTGTCCCCCGGTATAATGTCAGGATTGTAACTGGGCCTCACACGATATCTGAAGACTTTGACATCGTTGTCCCCACTATCAGTGACCAAAAGGGACCCCTCGGTGGAACAGGCAACGCCTGTCGGTCTCAGAAGACCTTTAGACACCAGACAGATTGGAGAACCGTTCTTCGGAAACAGATGTACTTTCTGACGCTGTTCGTCGGCAACTATAATATTGCCTTCCTTATCGGCACAGATCCCAGCAGGGTTGCCAAACTGGTGTCCGTATTTGCTGCTGATGGAGGAAACCAACTTGTGGCCACTGTCGAAGAGCTTGACTTCGCCACATTCTTCACTCACTGCAAACCCTCCCTCGGGGATCATGCACACGTAGCGTGGCCCGCTTAAGTTGGAGACAGAATGAGCGCTCTGCATCTTGAAAGCTCGGTCCAGGGCGAAGGTGTGGACTTTTCCTTCGGTGTAGTCAGCCACCAGTATCCTTCCCGAGGCTTCAACTGCAATCCCTCTGGGGGAGCAAAATTTCCCAATTCTTAGCCATTCCCCCTTGGAGAACGTGGAGCGGTCATTGAAGATGTGGACGGTTCCATTCAACATGTCTGTGACAGCCACCATCCCAGCTCTGGTGATGGTCACGTCCTCGGGTAAAAAAAACGCCTTCTTCCATTCCACACAGGAGATGGACCGAAACGCCTGGCCAGAGCGATTAAGAATGTCGACTCTGGGTGCGTTCTCAGTAGTAAGGTAGACCACTCCATCTGGGGAGCAGTGAATTCCACACACTGGTCCATACTGGCTCCGGTTGGGATTTGAGATCCTCCGAATCAGCTCGTCTTGCCGATAATAAAGGTGGTTTTTGATATTGTCGAGGTCATGGCAGATGACCCTAGCTTTCTCCACCAGTTGGTGAACTTGGTGGTCAGTCACCATGCCCATGCCTGGATGGTTGGTCAGGAGAGGACTAGCTTTCTGAAAAGTGGAATCTGATTTGACTTGGAGGGTGTAAACGGTCTTCAGAAGTTTCTCCTTGCGTTGCGTGTCTTCCAGGGTATAATCCATCCTTTAAAAAAAAAACCAACACAAAAACCATCAACACAACCATCATACAGTCTGGGAAGGGTTTCACGGGTGGGGGGGAGATATTTCTGAAGACTACATTGAGAGTGGGTAGAGGGCACAGTTGTAGAGGCAAAAGATTCCAAATAAATGAAATTTTCCACTAAGATGGAATGTACTTAAAGCCGAAGGGGTCTTTGGTGTTCTCAGAGCTTGGTTGTTTTCTTGCAGATCTTTCATTACTAATTAGGTAGCATTATCAGTGCTAGAAGGGAGAGGGGGTTGCTTCCTGTTTATATGCTCCCTGTTAAGGCAAGCCACTTGAATATGAACAGGGAGCAAACCCCACTCCCTTCTAGCACTGATGATGTTACCTAGATTGATAATGAAACGTCTGCAAGAAAACAACCAAGGTCAGAGAGCACCAAGGACCCCACAGTCATCGTCCTCCTCCTCCTCCTCCTCCTCCTCCTCCTCTCCACAGACCCCACTTCCTTCTAGGACTGATGATGTTCCCTAGATGGCTAATGAAACATCTGCAAGGAAACAACCAAGCTCAGAGAGAGCACCAAGGATCCCACAGTTCAACAAATATCCCCTTCTATCATTACTTAAAACTAACCCATCATCCCTCCTCCGCTTCCTATCCTTGGCCTTTACTTACTGGATAGAATCTGAAACCTAAGCTAGCATACAGGTAGTCCTTGACTTATAGCTCTTTGTACAGCCAGTACCCAAAGTTACCATGCTTGCTGCTGAAAAAAAATGATTTAGAAATGGTCTTGGCATTTATGACCATCGCAGCATCTCTGCCGTCACACACAATTCAACTGCTTGGCAACAGTTGGGCTTTTAGGAAAGTTGCAGCACCCAGCAGTCACATGATCACCCTTTGGGATCTACTCTGCAGACTTCTGACGCGCAAACTCAAGGGAGAAGCCAGCAGGGAGCGTCACAAGTCACGATCCTGTGAGGCTCCACTTAACGACTGTGCCACTTAACAACAAAATTCCCAGTGCTTATTACAGACATACGTCAGGGATCACCTGGACAATTGTCCTAAAATCTAAGTGATTCCCATGCTGGTGAACAGCCTTTCTTCACTACCCTTTTACCATCTGCACAAGACCAGTTTGAGGAATTAGAGAAGGATTTTACACAAGCGGGCTTCACACCCAACAATACCATTGTGTATGCGATCACCCTGTTGCCCACCTCTTCCAACAAGAGTTTCAAAAAGCAAGTAGCCCAACTTTAACCAAGCAAGCATTCCCAGTTTCATTTACCTGTGGTCCAAGTAGAATAAATAATGTTCTGCTCTTTACCTTCCAACAGCAGGTTAGAAGGATCTGTTTCTTGTAATACACTGGTGAAATTAGTCACCTAGGGCTTTGTTGTTAGTGACAGGAATTTCCTTTGCTGACCAACACTTGTGTCAATAGGATAGTTTTACCCTGTAAACACAAAGACGCCCACATGAAATACAAAACACAAGGCTCCTTTATTGCGTTTCGGCAGTCTAAGGTGGAAATGGTAAATGGAATTACATTAGCTGCCTAGTATCAATCTACTATTCTATGCCAGATCTTTAAGGTTATAATATAGAAGCTAGGTTCAGACTTTTAAGTGTCTTGGGCAAACTCAACTTTTCTGCCTCATAAATCAGGGTTGTTGTTTTTTTGCCTTAGTATGATATAGGAACCATGATAGAAATAGGACGAGAAGCAATGGATGGAAACTGATCAAGGAGAGAAGCAACCTAGAACTAAGGAGAAACTTCCTGGCAGTTAGAACAATTAACCAGTGGAACAACCTGCCTCCAGAAGCGGTGAATGCTCCAACACTGGAAGTTTTTAAGAAGAGACTGGACAGCCATTTGTCTGAAATGGTATAAGGTTTCCTGCCTGAGCAGGGGGTTGAACTTGATGACTTCCAAGGTCCCTTCCAACTTTATTATTATTATTATTATTATTATTATTATTATTATTATTATTATTATTATTATTATTATTATTATTATTATGTGTGGGGTCCGGCCTCTTTCTCACAAAAGTATTTCTGTCCCCAGTGTTCAGATATATAAATCTGCAAAAACTTTATTAGAGGAAGAACCCACTAGTAGAACATAGAATAACAGAATTGGAAGGGACCGACCCCCCTGCTCAAACAGGAGATCCCTTACCATTTCAGAGAAATGGCTGCCCAATCTCTTAAAAACTTCCAGTATTGGAGCATCCACAACTTCTGGAGGCAAGCTGTCCCATTGACCGATTGTTCTCACTGTCAGGAAATTTCTGCTTAATTCTAGGTTGCTTCTCTCCTTGATTAGTTTCCATCCATTGTTTCTTGTCTTGCCTTCTGGTGTGTTTTGGGCCAATAGGTTGACTCCTCCCTGTTCCCTGTGAGCTCTTTTAGTACTGGAAAATGGCTATCATATCATTTGTAGTTCTTCTCTTCGTTAGACTAGACATACCTGAGTGGGATCCAAGAAGCCTTGATTCAAGTTCTTCCCATTATTATAAACTTCAGTAGCTGCCTTGGGCCACTTTCTCCCCCAGCGTAGCTTAGCAGCAAGGGCCATGTGGTCAAGAAGAAGCAGGATTGTGGTCCAGATGGACGGATGGGACTTTCACAATGATCAATGAGAAAGTAAAGTAATAAGTAATAATTTGATCCCCGCTGCCTGGTGGGTCATAACCCAGGAACTGGCAGAAAGCCAAATTGGGAGCTTCTTGTGGACACCCAGAAAGCTAAGGGGCCATCTGGTGACTTCTAAACAGGCTGGGACAAGTCCATCTCTGGAAAGGTGAAAGAATGCCTGAGGTGTTCTTGATATGTTTATCTCAGTGATTAAACTCACAACAACTGTACAAAAGGTCAGAGTTGGTTGCCGAGTGCCATTGTTTTCATAAAACAAGGAGGAAGCAGAATAAAAATACAGCTTCTCACCTGCTTCCTGGATCTCCAGATGAGGCCTCTCAACTTACCTGTTGGGTTGAATTACTGAATTCTTACAATAAAACCAGTTTCGGACGGAAGCCTTCAGCTCCGTGCCCAGTGGTGAAGATCTGAGACTGAACTTCACACATCATTTTAAGCCATAACGTGGTTTGGTTGCAATGCCTAAGCTCCACTTTTGCATCTTGTAAACCCTGGTTGACGGATTAGCAGGTATGATAAACAAGGCTATTTGTGTTTATTCATATTAATGCATTAATATTAACGGTTCAACCAACCATGCATTGACAACCGTGCCATCTTTTAAGTCAGCTTCTCTCAGCCTGGGCTTTCCTGTCGCCTTCGGACTGCAGCGTCAATAATTTTTTGCTGGTGTGCCTTTTGGCAATGCCAGATGGGAATTCTTGGTATTGTAGTCCAAAGCTCATATGTTGGTGTTGGTGTTGTTAATTGCGAAGTCGTGTCCGACCTATCGCGACCCCATGGACAACGTTCCTCCAGGTCTTCCTGTCCTCCACCATCTTCTGGAGTCCATTGAAGTTCACGCCTACTGCTTAATAATAATAATAAAGTTGGAAGGGACCTTGGAGGTCATCGAGTCCAACCCCCTGCCCAGGCAGGAACCCTACACCATTTCAGACAAACGGCTGTCCAGTCTCTTCTTAAAAACTTCCAGTGTTGGAGCATTCACCACTGTCGTCCCCTTCTTCTCTTGCCCTCCATCTTTCCCAGCATCAGGCTCTTCTCCAGTGAGTCCTTCCTTCTCATTAGGTGGCCAAAGGACTTGAGTTTCAACTTCAGGATCTGGCCTTCTAAAGAGCAGTCGGGGTTGATCTCCTCTAGGACTGACCGGTTTGATCGCCTTGCAGTCCAGGGGACTCGCAGAAGTCTTCTCCAGCACCATAGTTCAAAGGCCTCAATTTTGTTGTTGTTGTTAGTTGCGAAGTCGTGTCCGACCCATCACAATCCCATGGACAACGTTCCTCCAGGCCTTCCTGTCCTCTGCCATCTTCTGGAGTCCCTTTAAGCTCACGCCTCCTGCTTCAGTGACTCCATCCAGCCACCTCCTTCTCTGTTGTCCCCTTCTTCTCTTGCCCTCCATCTTTCCCAGCATCGGGCTCTTCTCCAGGGAGTCCTTCCTTCTCGTTAGGTGGCCAAAGTACTTGAGTTTCAACTTCAGGATCTGGCCTTCTAAAGAGCAGTCGGGGTTGATCTCCTCTAGGACTGACCGGTTTGAACGCCTTGCAGTATAGAAGATGCCTTTTTGAGATTTATTTATTTTTGAGAATTATTTTTAATTTGTAACTAGATGCTTTAGAGGACCGGATTCAACAAGGCTTCAGGTCATCAATAATGGTTTACAAACTATCTGGATTGTAGCTAGGCCAAACCACAAACCAACCAACCATGTTTTGGGC